AACCACCCGCTTCTGATTTACTTTTATGTTTTTGGTTTTCTGAAGTTTTAATAAAATTTAGTTTTGATTTATATGTGCTGTTCTGTATGATTTTCTCTGTAGTGAAAGACTCAAGCACGTTTTTCTCATAATTTTAGCATATTTTAATGAATCACATTGTCCTGGTCACAAAAGCAAAGTTTCCGAGGAATATTAGGTGGTTTCCATACTTTTAAGGTATAACAGACTAGGAAATAACAATTACATCCCAAGGACTGAGAAATTTTTTTTGTTTGTTACTTAGTGTTATTAATGGTAGCTGTGAATATTCATTAAAATCGCTTCAATTCGTAATAAAAGTAGATTACGTACTTCTGGTGTGATATATTCTTTAATGTAAACTAGCTTTTCTTATTCTAAAATAAATCAATAATCCCAAGATTTATAAAAAAATTTTGTTCAAAAAATACATATCAAAGCATCCCTGTTGATCTCATAATTCAAATGTGCCTTGTCAAATACAAATTTGAATAAAAATTTTGATTCGAAGATTTATGCAAACGATTTTTCGCGATATTCATCACAAGAATTTATCATCTTACTTGTCCGTAAGTTTTTGAAGCATTTTAACTTTTGTTTTTATATGTATATTCATGCCATACCATTTTTGTTTTCAGATTGTGAAAATGCCAAACCGAACGTGCATAGCCGGATGCCCTCTGGGAGTACCCCTCTATCCTTTTCCTCTGGAAGGGGAAATGGCCAGGTAAGTAGAAATAATTTAGAAAAACAGAAGTGGATTATTGGAGCTCCCACACAGTGCAGACTTTATCGACCCCCGATTTAGTTGGGGCTCGCTTGAATAGATGTATGGTGAGCGCACTACACCAACTTAATCGCGCCCGAAAATGCAATGGACAGATAAGCAAGCCCATATAACCGGCAATAAAGTCTGCAGTGTGCGGTGGCTCTGAAAGCTAGAAATGTCTGTGGCCAGTGCAGTTAGAGTAGACAGAGGGGTTTATTTGTATAGAAGCAATTAAGATTTAAGATTTATTTAAGTCTTTTAAATTAGTTTACATTACTTTAGTGCCTTTAGTTTTTCTTGCTTCCTATTGTTAAAAAGTATGGCCGTTTTTGAAATATTTGATATTTTTTAGCTAAAAATAATTGATAATGGGCGTGTGAATAAAAACTAAGGAATTGATTTTTCTTAAAATCCTACAACTTTTATATAAATTTTGTTATAATAAACCGAGTAAAAGGTCTGAAATTTCAAGAAAAAGTAATTTTTTTTTTTAGTTCATACGGCTGAAGAAATAAAAAATTTTAATATTTCAAAACGGTGCACTTTTATAAGGGTATTTTTTCTGTTATCTGGGTGGTCTTCTTAAGTTTATCGTGGTAATTATTGTGTAGCTTGTATAAAAATTAGTAATTTGATGGTTTTAATTCTTTTTTTAATTTTACTAGGCGGCGTCAGTGGATGGAGCTGTTGGGCGTAGTCAACCCAACAGCGAAATATATTTTCGCTTTCCAGAGGCATTTCTCCCTGAAAATGAGGATGGGGAATGGAAGGTTACTGCAGAAGTGGGCTATCCCTGATATTAGTATTAAGTTATGTTCACCCACAGTAATAGAAAGGGATTTACTGTGGGTGATTTTGTAAATATTGTATATAAATTTGTATAAAGTAGTTTTCTTGTATGTAGTATTATTAATCATAGTCGTTTTTTACAAGTAGATTTGTGTAGTTTTTTCGTATTTCGTGGATTTTGCTATTTCTTAGATTTTCTTATATGCATGCACTTCGTATTTGAAGATAGTATGGGTGAAAATAGGCCTCCTGGGGAACCGAACACCCAAAAAAAAAAAATTGGTAACGCGCCTTTATTGCAACCTCAATGGTGGTGTGGAAAAGCAATATGTTAAAAAAAAAATAAAGAATATCAATTTGGCAAAAGTAAAACGTATTTCTTTTATTTATGTATGATAAAACCAACAAAAGTTCATAGGCACATAACCAAAATCTTAGATGACCTGGAAGCGATTGGCTCAAAATTAAGGTAAACATATAAATATTGATCTTACTTTGATTCCTGATCAAATGATCGAGGTTTATGTACATACATATTGCATATGTTGTTCGCAACTGTTTTAACTGTTGTTACTCCTTTGTTACTAAGTTGGTTTTAGGTGTTACCTAGAAATATAGCCAGTTTAGCATCTTGGTTACCTCCTACTTACCGGTCTTAGGTGCTACACCAGAAGTTATAATAGGGTAATAGTTATTCGAATTCTTGGTTAACCTTTTTCCTATAAATCCTTTAAAAAAAAATCCTTTTAAAGTATAAAGCTTTATTTTATTAATAATCAAATTGGCAAGCGTTTCTAAGACGTCATCATAACCATTCTACAAAACGGGATATTAAATAAATGTATGTATAAAGATATTAAACTATAATAATAATAATATATTAATCAATTTACTATTCCTTTGATATATATTTACAGTTGGAAATCATTTATCGCGGTTTACGAAAATTCAGTTTTCTTACAACTTTGCAAAATTTGAGAACCTTTCCACTGCTTACATATAGATGATTTCAAAAGTTGCGAAATTTGCATAAAAATGTCAAGCAATTTAAATGGTTTTATAATCAAAAGAAAGGTAATCGTTTTAGCTTTCTTTTGATATATATTAACAATTGGAAATCATTTATAGTGGTTCAAGAAAATGCATTTTCTTACAACTTTGCAAAATTTGAGAACCTTTTCACTGCTTACATACAAATGATTTCAAAAGTTGCGAAATTTGCATAAAAATGTCAAGCGATTTAAACGGTTTTATAATCAAAAGAAAGGTAATCGTTTTAGCTTTCTTTTGATATATATTAACAATTGGAAATCATTTATAGTGGTTCAAGAAAATGCAGTTTTCTTAAAACTTTGCAAAATTTCTACATATGTATATGTTTTTCGCCTCGTTGTAATTCGCCATAAATCTGTGGTATAACATTGTTACTAGTCGCTGATGGTGTTGATGGCATTGAATTTGGTGATGGCGTTGATGATGCTGGTGGTGAATGTCAAATATGTAAACAAAAAAAATATCAATTAAAATTTATAAACATGAAAAATATCAATGTATACCTTTAGAATATGACTATGTCGGTGATGTTTGCAATCTCAAAGAAAAAACTATAAACATGCTTTCATCATGAGCGAGAGTCTCATTTTTGCTGAGGGAGATATTTTAATTTGCCTCCAGTAGCGCTTCATTTATTTCGCCGAGCCTTAAACATAGTATACTATTAATTTGGAAAGGTTAATGCAATAAAACCGAGAGGATTTTTGAGAATAACTTTTGTGTGACGTCACACTGGTGCAATTGCGAGAGAGAAATGCCAAAACGTGAGCAAGAATGGAAGAAGAAGAAAAAATGTCGCAAGGAAAATGTAAACAAGTTGCACCAGTGTGACGTCATGCAAACAACGATTCTGTCAAATTCGTTAAGAGAGGAATAGCGGTCCGAGATCGGCGCATCCTTTGTATTCTCTCAATCGTGCATATGAAGCATATTTAACTGATGAAAACATAAACTGTTTTTAAATTGGATGTTTACATCAATCTCATAAGACTACTCTTAATTTAATTTTGAGTCTTTTTGCAGTTTTTATACAGCTAAATAGCACATAAATTACGTAATCCACATAGATATATCAATATTACGTTCAATATTTCGCTTAAAATGCCAGATTTCCTGCAAATACATTAGAACTGAGGTACAAACGCAAACTGACCGGCTGCTAGCGGCGCATAAGTTCGGTAGCTGCGCAATGCGCACACATGACCAGACTAATTTACTCTGTTCCAATAGTAGTCCGGTTTACAGGATTTAGTCAGAACTTACAGGAAGTCGTTCCTATTGACATAAAACCTGTAAGTGGGAACACATTTGAGAGAGTAACTGAGCGACTGTTCCTAGTCAGAAGTTACAGGATTTAGTCCGGAGTTTTTTTTCCTGTAAGTTCATGAAAAGTGTCAAACGATCAGCTGATTTGCATGTGCAAGCAAAAACAAACAGCGGTGAAAGCAGAGTAGCTTATATTTGTAAAAAAATGGAAATAAACAACGAAATGTTTGAATATGTATAGATTTTAATAATTATTTAGTGATATTTCAGCTAAATCAGTGTTGTACAAATCACATGTAAACAAACCGACTGACGTTTTTACAAGAAATAGTGCTTTTTGCGTCCCTATGCACTTCTGCATCTGTTCTCCTTTTACTCTCATTTGAGAGAGTAAAATTGTAGTTTGACAGTTCCACAGGTTTTAGTCCGAAGTTCAAAGGAACAGACTAAATAATAGGTTCATTCCTTATCTTTTTGGACTAAAAAGTTGCGGAAGGCAAAGTAAATACTCTACGCGTCTTGCTATTGATCGGTAGTTTACTTACGCTTGCAGAAACTGGTTTATGCTTACTCACACTTGACCCGAACGATGAGAGTAAAGGAGGGAAAGTATTTGCGCGGCGATCGGATGCCTTGTTAGGCCGTTTAAATAGAATTGCGCAGGAGTTTATTAAGTACATGCATATAGATCAGTGAGGCATACGGGAGCAGTGTTGCCGCGCCGTCTCAAGAAAATGTATCTCTGACCAAGCCAAAAATGTATCCAAATGTATCTAATTTTCTTTTTTTTCATATACATCTCATAATTTGTAAGAAAACCAAACATTTTCATGAAAAAGACATAATTTAACCCATCCTAAGGACTTGGAATACATGTGCATAAAATCAAACATTTGTAATTTCAATTTATAAAGTACATTTTTTGTGCATAAGTATTTTGCAAAGTAAATATAATAAATAGCAAGTACACTCTAAAAAGAGCATGTAAAACTACTACTGAAAAGTATCTATTTTTCAACAAGAATCTGTATAAATATACGTATAGGATGTTCAGTATTTGATTTTGAACTTGAGATCTTTAAAATATACACATAAATACACATATATAGAATGTCTAAATTACAAAAATTTTCTAACTACAAATAGATTTCCTACTAATAATAAACATTACTTTATTTTAAACATTTTATGTGTAAAAGTAAACAGGCAATGATTAATTTTATTACACGGCGTGCAAATTTGCACACATTAAAAGAGGAATCTGGTTACCTCTCTCAATATGCGCAAATAAACAAAATTTTTTCAGTAAAATTCATAAAAGTTTGGTTAAATAAATCAAATTTAGTTTTTTATACTACATTGAAATCTTCTTTCTTTTTAAATTAACAAATGAAAATATGTGATATGAAAGAGATTACTACAGAAAGAGTATAATTTACTTTATATATATCGTCGTTTAAAGTACAAAACCGCGTATCGTCATTCTGCAAAACCGCGTAACTGACGTTTGCTGCCAAAAATTGGATTTGCTCACACAAGCTCTTGGCTCAATCCTTATCCATTCGTCCTGGAATATACTAGCCAGAAGTGCGATTGCTTTATAAAAAAGAGAACCATTTTGAAATATAAGTGTTTTTACTTTAGAAAATTTTTTATTCTAGAAAATAATTTATGCAACGTCTACGAGGTTTTGCATTATCTTGATACGCGGTTTTGCATTTTGTTGATACGCGGTTTTGTACTTTAAACGACGATATGTATATTAAGATCTTGCGTAAAGCATCCTTTTAAGCTAATTAAAGCAATTGCGCTTATACCTATTTTGGTGAGATCTCTTCATATGTTCATTGCTTCGTTCACAAAAAATAAAATGCTTTCATTTCACGCTTAAGTAGCGATTCTTTATACGTTTATAAAACGTAATGCTTTCTACCATCTTTAATGAAAATCGATTTTTGAACGAAAAAACTTTATAGGAAATATAAAATTTTGGCCTATTTAAAAAAGTATCCACATTTATACTGACCGGAAAAAATAAGTATCACGCAAAAATTCGTCTAAAAATGTATCCAATTGGATCTATTTAGATCCAAACGGCATCCCTGCACGGGAGTCTCCGGGACAAGGCGTATTCAACAAGGTGGTATCGGTACGCCAACAACAAAATGTAC